CATACAGTCAGTTATATTCCTTTCTATTTCCATGACTAGTATCTTTTTAGCTTGCCCTAAGTCTTTCATTTCAAACTCAGATTTTAACTTTGATTTAATAGAATCTATTTTAGATCTGGATTGACAAGCAACATATCATCAACATATAAAAGCAGGTAAATAGATTCAGGTCCTCTGACCCTTTGAAGAAGAGACAAGAGTCATAATTGCTCTTAACAAAACCTAAAGTCTCAATGTAAGAATTGAACTTTTTATACCACTGTTTGGGAGCTTGTTTTAAGCTATAAAGAGATTTTTCAACAGGCAGACCTTGTGAGCATCAGATTTGACTTCATAACTAACAGGTTGTCTCATATAAGGTTTCCTCAAGATCCCCATTCAAAAAAGTAGTTTTCACATCAAGCTGATCAAGTTCCCAATTAAAATGAGCAGTCAATGCAAGAGGAATTCTAATGGAGGTGTATTTAGCAACAAGAGAAAATATCTCATTATAGTCCATTCCTTCCTTTTGAGTGAAGCCTTTTGCAACAAGTCTAACTTTATATCTTTTACCTCGTAGATTAGAATCCCCTTCTTTAATTTTGAAAATCCATTTACAGTCAACTACTTTCTGATTCTCAGGTTTATTAACCAAAATCCAAGTTCTGCTTTTAACTAGAGATTCCATTTCTTCATTCATAGCTTCTTTTCACAACTTAGACTCAGAACAGTTGAAAGCTTCTTCAAAAGTGGAGGGTTTAGTATTCAAAGAATCAAGAGCAGTGAACAGAGTAACGAAATCATCACTTTAAACCTAGTGGAAGGAATTATGTTCCTTTTATCTCTGTCTCTAGTCAGTTGGTAGTCAGCCAATGGAGGATTAATGAATTCAGCTTCATCATCGGATTAACTCAGATCCTGATTGGCTTCAGATTGAGTGGACTCCACCTCAATCAAATCATTGTTACCATCTGATTTATTTTCAAGAATCGTCTCAATGGTAGGAGCAGTATTATCAGACACCGTTTCAGATTTGGTCTTGCAGGGGAAGTCATTTTCATTAAAGATAACATTTCGGCTGATAATAACTTGAAAATCATTTTTACATTTAACCCAAAGTCTGTATCCTTTGGTCTCTTCCCCATACCCCAAGAAGACACACTTCAAGGACTTTGGTTCAAGTTTTCCTTCATTTTGGTGGGAATAGGCAGCACATCCANTTTGTTGATGTGTGTATATCACAATCATATGCCTTAGAATTCCATTTTCCTTACAAAAATAGTCAAATTCCAGATTGCAGAATTTAAGATCATTATCAGTCCACAATGCTTTCATTTTCTTATTGGTTTGATTTTTAATCATCAATTTCCATTGCTTAAAATTTTGAAAAGTGTCAGACTTATGTTTCAAAAGAAAAGTCCATATTTTTCTTGAAAAATTATCTACTATAAGCAAGTAGAATCTATGACCACTCAAGGTATTCATAGATGCTGGACCCCACAGGTCAGCATGTAAATAGTCCAAAATTGAGGTGAATGTATGGACTCCAGTTTTAAAGGGAAGCTTATTTTGTTTTTCAAAAACACAGTCTTCACATAAACTAATTTTTCAAAATTTTCTTTTCCAAAATAGCCAAGTATATTTAAAATAGTTAATCCCTTTCAGGCATGTGGCCAAGCCTTTTATGCCAGATTAAAGACTTGTCATGTTTTATACTTACAGCAGCAGAGTTGTAACCTACTAAAAGTTCAGCATGCATAGTGTAGATACCATTAATCTTGGGCAAAGAGATGATTTTTTTATTGTTCAGATGAAGCTTGATAAAGTTTTTGTGGATTCTTATATCATAGTCATCATCCAACTCCCCTAAGGAAATCAAATTTCTCTTTAATTCAGGAACAAATCTGACCTGATCAAGTTTGAAGATATTGTTGTTATCAATTTGAAGATTCACCTTTCATATCCCCTTTATCTGAAAACTCATGTCATTTCCTATCTGAACTTGCCCCCCATTCTGATCAACAAGTTCAGTAAACCAATCCCTTATAGGGCATATGTGAAATGTACAGCCAGAATCAAGAACCCATTCTTTTGGGTTCCTATTGGTGGTATTAACAAGATCAACCCCCTGAATATCATACTCATTGTTACAGGCAATAGCATCAGACCCATCAGAATTATGTTTATCTTTCATATTAGAGATCTTTTTGAAATAGTCTTTGATAAGATGTCATGATTTTCCACAATAGTAATATTTTCTGGGCTGAAGTTTAGGTTTAGATTGAGTCTTGTTCTAATTTCTAAACTTGGTAAATTGGGGTTTATCTCTTCTATGAGAGTTGTAGTTGCATTTGTTTCCCCTTTTATTCTGATTTGGTTTCTCCCTCACATTCAAAGTTTCATTAGATTTAGAGTCCTTGAAATCATATTTCAATTCAAGTTCTCTGTTCCTCAAGGATGATATAACAATGTCAACAGTGAGATCAGTTCTTCCATATTTCAAGGCATTTCTAAGATCTCTATATTTGTCCCCCAANTTGTCCCCCAAAGCATTCAACAAGGCCTCAACTTGTTGATCCTCATATAATTTCTCATCACAGTCAGTCAATTCTTGAACAAGGCTTGTGAATTTATCAATGTTATCTTCTAGTGTAGAAGAAGGATTAAATCTGAAATTGTAGAACTGTCTAAGGAGATAGCATTTGTTGGGCATACTCTTAGCAAGATAGAGAGATTCTAACTTAGTCCATAAACCCTAAGTGTTAGTGGTTTCTCCAACTTTCCTAATAACAATATCAGACAAGTGAAGAAAAAATGGAACTCCAAGCAATCTCATCTAATTCTTGCCTTCTATAGACACTACATTCAGGTGGACAAGTCCCATCTAAGGTAGCAGCACACCTCTGTTGCAACAACAGAGCCCTCATTTTCTATCTCCATAAACTAAAATCCCCAGTCCCCCTCCAAACTTCTACTTCAAACTTATGTACAGCAAACATTATTAAAGATAAACAAACAAGAATTAAATAATATGCCACACAGTAACTAACAAGTATTGACGGTATGAGAAAAGACTTCACAAAATCATAGAATATGATAAGTGGTAGCAATTGATCAACCAGTGACAATAATATCATGCAGGAAACGTCAATTCTTGAAAATGTTTAAGGGCTGGTAATCCTTTTATCCCATACTCCCTCAGATTCCTAGATCCTCAGTGAGATCTTGGACAAATGAAAGCAAGAGAGGATCACTTACCTTAATTACAAGTTCCAAGAAGTGGCACATGATACTGAAATAATAGGGAGTTTCAAAGAATACCAGAAGCAGATGAGAATAAGCCTCAGAACAGGTGCAGGAAGCAACTAGTCACACAGACTCGGTGGAATCGAACTAGTCAACTCAACTTACCATGACTCAGTGTGAGTCAAATGAGTCAACCCCACTCAGCACTGAGTTGCATCAGGAATCCACAAACTCAGTAGGAACACCAGATCAAAGGAGATATCCCACAGGAGAAAATGATTTTCCAGAAAAATTACACAAACCAGTTTACAAAAAACCTTAATACTTTTAGAGAAACTTATTTTAAAGATGAATCAGAAAACTCAAACCCAAGGATATTATTTTCCACAAAGATCGTTTCAGAAATTGTAAGATCTACACAGTCAAACAATTTGAAAAATAGGGTTTCTGAAAAATCAAATGCCAACACATATCTACAACTAATCGTGGCTTTGATACCACTTGTTGGTCCTAGAGTTCACAAAAAACACAATTTAAAACAGTAAATAGCGAAAAGTAAAGAACAATACAAAGAATTTTTCACCCAAAGGGTTCGAATGTTCAGCCTTCAGCCTGCTCACCCTTTGAGCATCCACACAAAGGGATTACGCTCTAGTTCATTAAAATCACCTAGAAACAGATTACAATGTATGAAGAAATCAGAGGTTTCTTCAATTTGTTCTAGCCTCAAGTCACTTAGAATATACACAATCTAACATAAAATAGATCAAGTGTCCTCACTGCCTAATCACTCAGAAATATACAAAAATCACTCAGATTTACAAAACGGAAGAAAATAAGAGATGAACCATAATCACATAGAGAGAACTCTCTCCAAGACACTCAACAGTTNAGAGAGAACTCTCTCAAAGACACTGAACAGTTACACATGAATGAAGCTTCGAAAATCACTATAAGGCAGGGAGTCCAAGGGTCTTCATCAACGGTGGAGATCTGGCCAAGTGTAGGGCCAGATCACAAAGCCAAAAGAAATAAGTTCTGGGCCAAAGAATCTGGTACAGCACTGGCCCAACACAATCAACTGGGCCAAAGAATTATTAGGCAGCCCAATACATAACACATGAAAATTCTGATTTTATGTGGAATTTCCAGACGCCACATACGTCTCCACCAGCCACCGTGCAGCCCCCACTTGTCTCTTCATCATCTCTGTTCTCAGCCAGCAATGATCTGTTTCCTTATTAATTGAGACATTGAACAAGAGAAACTTCATCCCTCTATTTAACTAAGAAAAACTAGAAATAGAAAAACTGTGTAATAGTTATGTATTAGATAAATAGATGAGAGTAATCACAACATGAAACTTTTATTGAGATCATAAAAATATCTACATTATGAGTCAACATTTTGGTATCAGATCATGAAAAGAAAAACATAAAAAGACAAAAGAATTCAGGAACTTATTGTAGATTGATTACAATTGTTTTGGAACTTTTCTTTGATAAACAAAATTAAACAGATACATAATTACAGGAAAATGATAAAAAAAAAAATAGATAACCAGTTAATGGAAGATTGAATAGGCTCATCATGAACTCCTCCTTGAACTTGTACCACCTCAATGCTTCAATGGACAATCCTCCACTGTACGTATTGAATTGAACTTGAAACTCTAGTAAACAAGATTTCATTTTTGTCAAGGACCATACAATCCACTTCGCCAAAAGATTCATCTTCATCAAGAAAAACGACTAAGATGATCTGCTTCAAAGGTATTAAAGTGATGGGCTGTAGTATCTAGTGCTGTGGCTGCTCTTTCTTTCGGGAGGCTGCCCACAAACGCACTGGCACTCGTATCCACATAGAACTCCGAAGCACGAGAATAAGCCATTTCCACCTCTATCATTGCGCCGTCGAACACGTTGTTGGCTGGTCGATGAGAAGCTACTCGTCGAAAAGCCACGGTCGTAAATCGGCGGCAGCTCCTTCCGCCACCTCTCAAGCTTTGACATTGGCCCTTCGACGCTATCATCCAAGCTCCAACCACTCAAAACCGAGCTTTCGTAATCGTCCAAAGGATATTTCCTTTCCCGGGCTGCCATCGCTGCCGCCACCTCAGACGGAGACGGTCCAACTTCGGAGATGGACAAATTTGAACTAGCTTTGAACGGCACAAACTTGCCACTTGGCATCAAACCTTTTGCTGGACCAAGGCCATATCCATTGGGTTTCGGTATTGGAGGTTTTTCACCCCCAATTTTCTTACCATCTGTCACACCCACCTTATCAAACACCTTATGTTCTTCACTTCGTCTGCCATTATTTTTCTCAGTGTCATCCTCATTTTTCTGGGTTTTTGTGGTCAAATCTTGGTTCACATTCTTAACATAAACAGAAGATTGTTTGCTAAAAATCGAATCACTCACAACAGAGCTTGCCTTTCCTTTCTTCCCTTTCTGCCTAGTTTTCCCTACCAATTCCGCACCATTGATAACCGAACTCGCTTTCCCCTTCTTCTTCGTGCCTTCAAATGGATCCGCAATTTCTGACAAACTCAAAATGCAACTCCCATTGTCTTTCTGTCCCGGGATAGCAACTAATGAACTGTTAGCCATAGAAAAACTATCAAAAGTGAAGCGCTCGCTGCGTTCACTTTTGGAACGCTGAAAGATGGGCTTCAAATTGGGAGGCTGAGTGTTGTTTGAATTGTGAAGATTTGGATCCTCCATTAGATCTCGAATTCCAACTGCTGAAGCACTGAGCTGTCTGTACAGTGGCATGCTTCGCATGGAACTGTCGAGAAGGGCCACGCCAATGTTCAATATTCCCTGTGGACGCCCTGATGGACGACGAACCTGAACCATGCAAGCAAGATAGTTCTATTCAAATCTAATTTTGCACAGAAAAAAATACCAAAAAAATTTCAAACACAATAATAATATTAAAAATAAAATAAAAAGTAAAAATTCATATAAATTTTTTATTTTTCTGATTTCAGTGAGGGCCTAGGATCTACTGGCCCCTACCTGCCTCCGCCACTTTACATATGTAACATGTTACTGGTTAGTATTTTTAATTTCTTTCCGCGTAATATATATCATCCACCTCCATAGTTGTTTATTTTTGAAAAATAAAGAAAAAGAAATTAAAGCTACCTAATGTGAAATACCCAACAATACGATTAGACCAACGACGAATAAGTTTATGACATATTCAATAACATTAACGTATGTGTATCGATATGGTCATGATTCATGATTATGTTTTTATCTGCATTCAAGTTTATGCCATCAAATAAAATTGATATGTAGGAAAGAAAAAATGTATATGTTACGAATGCCAACAAGATTCAGAAGAAACAAGAATGATCGGATAACGATACCTGGAGTGCTACAAACCGCATTCCAAAATGGTGGCGGTTGTGGTGCTGCCGCAAAGGTGGCGGTGGAATGAGGTTTCCGACGAGGACGCGGACGGTGCCAACAAGGGTATCCCGGAACCAATTCACCGCGTAAATTTCAATCATAACAGCAGATGTATCTCGTCGAAGAAATTCTTCATCCACCCGAAACACAAATTTGTCATTCCACGTAGGATTGACATGGCCTTTGGCATCAACACTCGAAGAAAGTTTTCGATCCGAATGCACCCATGCTTTGGCATATGTTTTCATTTTCCTTGACACATTCTCCAAATCTTGGGCAGAAATGATATTTATTTCTAAAAGTTGGAAAGGTTTCAAGATAGCCATATTGGGCGGCGCGCGGCCAATGTAGTTACGTTTTATGGTGGCGGATGACGGAGAAAGGAACGTCCGCTCGTCGATGAGGGAGAGGCTGGTATCAACCGGAGGGAGATGATACCTAGCAGAATGGGGAAGGAGAGGATGGCCCCTCTAGACTACATGAAACAAGGAAATGTCTAGGAGAAAAAGGTCTTGTATTGTCTTGACCAATTTGCAAAGAATGAGGCGGTGGAATGCCCTTCTTACATATTTTCGTGTGGTGTGTGGTGGCCTGTTGGGGGTAACTGTAGTCTAATTATGTTAATTTTTTTTTCTAGATATGTTACAAATATAAAACGAAATTGGGTAAATTAAAGGATTAGTTACATATGATTCTTGCATGTTTGGTAAAGCTTAAATTTAAATATATGCAGGTTAAATATATTTTTTATCTACACATTTTTTATAACTTACAACTTATTATTCACACATTCTGCGGTATTTGCTGTTGGAAAAATGAGCAATATAGCTGACTTTGACATGATTTTTGAGTGAGACCCGTTTGGCTATTTTGAAAAATCAAGATTGATCTGTGTTCTCCTCCGTGAGTACATCGAAATCATATATTTACTTGCCAAAATTGATACTCGGGTGTATGAGAAATTGAAGCTTAAAGTGTGTCACTTAAAAGGAGTTTATGTTGGTGGAAAACTAATAAATATGTTTGTTCCACATAGGAAGTAGATGAAAACTAAAACCACTTTATAAAGGATTACACTTTAAAATGATGTAATCATGTGTAGTATAGAGGTTCTCTCCACGTGCGCGCACATGGGGGTGCAAATCATGGACCGAAATGCGTTTCAGACCTTAAACTTCTATGCGGGAGCGACCTGCGTACAAGAATGTCGAACCGAAAAGAGCAAAATTGGCCCATTAGGAGTGTCCACGTTTCGCTACATTTTTATTTTTCAAATGACTTTTCATTTTCTGAAACTGGTGAAACTCATGTGGTAATTGCCATGAAGTCAATGGCAAGTTACTAGATCCAAGTCTACATATATCTCGATTTTTTCCAGTTTTCTACACCACGAATTTCATCTGAAAATTTTTCTGCATACAGTTCGAGTTTGTCTTCGTTTTTCAGTTTCTATTCCCGTCTTTGTGGTGATATTGTTCGAGCACCAACTCAGTTTGTCAGAGTAAAATCTGTGGTACTCAAATTCTACTGTTCTACAGTTGTATTTTGGAAAGCAGACGTTCAAATTATACCTCAAGAACGTACGGTAATAGGGCGAATCTGTTTTAAGGAAACCGTGTGTAACACAGGCCTAGGGTTACAAGTTTATTATTGTTTAATTATTTTTTTACTTGTTATTTCTTGCTATAACTAACAAATCATTGGATTTGTTAGATATATAATTTCATCTGTTTTAAACTGTAAATTTGGTATCAAGTGTGTAAAATCGGTGTCCATTCTTTCATATACGATTATTGTTGCATATACGGTATCCAATACTGAAACGTTTGTCTAACATTTGCAACTTATAGGCACTTAAAAATATGGGTGAAAACCATTCGATATGGACGATTTTAGAACTATTTTAGAACTAGACCATTTAATATAGTTTGAAAAGTTCCAAAGAAAACTAAATCATATCAAATCTTTTTTATTTACTTTTTCAGTTTGATTTGGTTTTCAACAATTGTTTTAACAAACAACATATTTCAAACAAGTGACAAAATTTATTGGTATGAAATTTCTCTGTAACATTGTGAACTTCTAAACATAAAAATATAATATTAATATATTTGTCGATTAAACCAATAAATTAATATAAGTTCAACCATAAAATTTAAACTTGCAAAATTGGATGAACGATTTTGACTGGCGTTGACCCCAAAAAATGTTGCCAACAGATGTCAGGCCCACTCGTGCACACGCAAGCTTGATCCAACACGCTAATGTCGATCGACGGTCATGATGGCTCCAGGTAAAAGGCGTGGGAGTGGCTAGAAGGCACGAGACGCTTCCGTTCAGGCCACCGGCAAGAATATGATACGATTGTATAAGGAACCAATCGACAAAGTACGATCTGTAGCAATGAAATGTTGTAAAAAATGTAGTTGAAACGAGAAAGATTGCTCCAAAATATTCAGTTTGCTCTCCAATTTTGCATTAGTCCTTCTTTTGTTACATGGTGGGGGTATTTATAGTGTTACAATTCGAATGGTGTCCTTTGGATCAATTTACACGTGGCCTCATCTCTTCGGC